AGTTAAAAATAAAATATAATAGTATTAATTTTATTTATCACCTGTCTTTTATATTTAGGCCCAGCAAAAATGAGGTGTATTAATTCATATAAATACAGCTTTTTGGAAAAATAGGTCTTTCAGCTACTCTATTATAGCAATATTTTGTGTGCATAATGTATGTTATTGTACAAACACAGATATATGAAAACTTTTAAGGACATGTAAATAAAATGAATGATTATATAAAACAATTTAAAAGATTTTTGTTTTTTAAATATAAAGACCTGATGACTAATTGATGAACCACGAAAAAACCAACCTTACAGGAAGTTTTTCCTCCTTTGTGCAACTGGTAATGTTGCTGTCTGTCCTAAGACAGGATACAGTGTATATGACCTCTTTATTTAGGAAGGTCTTTTGGGTGTCAACAGTAGAATGTATGCTTATCTGCTGGGGAAGAGAGAAGACCATGATTTCTGTCCACGCTCTATTTTTGGATTGTGCTTAGAGGATTAATCCCATTAAGCACATAAAACGGCAGTTCGAGTGTATCACCCTATGCTGCCTGGAAAGTTTGAGCTTTCTGTTCTACTTTAACAAGAGGTTTTCTCTACTACAGGAGAGCAGCAGTTTTGAAATTGCTAAAAAAGAAGAGAGAGTTTACCTTGATCTAAGTTTGGATGGCTCCTGAAGGTTGAAGGAGATGGTACCGCCCTCACAAGTTTTCCTTCAATCTGATGGATGAATCCACTGTGTGTATATCTCTAGGCATTGAATTAAAAGTCTTAGGAGAATCCCATATTATGGTGACCATTATAAGGACACAAGGAAAGGCAAGAAACTAATTTTTTTGCACGTTAGGTTTCCTAGCTCAATGGTACTATCACTGTCAAGTATTGTCTTTGCCACATGCCTGTCTCTTCCTCCTGATTGCAATTGCTTAACCACTGAAGTATGAAGCAAAAAGTAGGATAAAGAAACTGAATTTGAGCACAAATCTGATACTAGTTTCTAGGTCACTTAACATCTTGCATTCATTGAAATATATAGCCTAGTGAAATTGGAGCACTATTTGTTGTCCAGCTGTCTCAGTAGTATACAGGAACGGGGATTCTTTAAACGTGATGTTACTGTTAGTGAAGTTGTGCCAATGGATTTGTTTTCCAGAGGATTAATTTTCTGACTTGCTCAGCCAAACTCTTTTCTGCAAGCATTTGTCCTAAAGAGTAGCTTTCGAATGTACTGTGTGTAAAGACTTTCAGTTGCACTAGATAACTCTTTCCTTCCCTCCTGTAGATAAGGAGATATCAACTTTCAGAATAGAAATGCTAGAAAGACATTTTCCCACTTTGTCCTATGGTGCTGGTAGACCATGTTTTTATTCTTTCATACCAGAAGCACTTCCTTCTTCTCATGCAACTTGAGAATAAATTAATCACCTGAAATAGCTCTGATGCTTAGTACGCTTCCAGTTCTATCACAAACTTAAAGTAATTCATCTTGCATATGTGTGTTGTGAAATGGGTATAAATCCCAGGCTTTGTATTTAGAATGTGATTGAAATCTTAACCTTTCAGTGGGGACACTTTTCTTTCAAGTAAGTTTTTTGATTAACCTTTCCTAGACTGACTCTCAAAACAGGGTGAGGTTAAAGGATAAATATAAATACATGTGATAAAGTAATAGGAGATTACTTAATCATGTGATGCAGTATAGCAGGTAAGCAATATGCCTGAGCTGCTGATGAATTCTTGATGAATCCCGAGTTGAAGTACTTCTCACTGTTACCTTGTGACCTAATGACATCAGATGCATGTTTTTAACTTTTAATCCTTTCTGGCCCTACAAAAACCAACTTGCAACAAGAGTGTTGTTGGCTGATACAGCTACGAAAACTGCTTTTTGCATATAAGAGAAAAACCTCTACCGAGCTTGTGTACAACTGACAAACGCCAGTGATCTTCTCAGTGCGACAGTCAAACACAAGCCAGTTTTCTGCACTATTTTAATGCTTAGTAAGTACCCTCATCCCAGCATGCAAGACTCCGTAATCTGCAAAGAAATTGAAATTGGCCTTTAAAAAAAGAAGTCACTAAATTTTAGGGAATTAGTTGCACAAAAAGAAACTGTATACATATTGGGTTAAATAAGAATCCTGCTTAAATCCCTTAAAGTCACCTTCCTCAGGGTTGGAGGTGAGGAAATAAAAAAATAAACACAGCTGATAACTTGTTGCCTTGTGACTTTCCCGAAAGAGAGGAAAAGTCCTAGGCTGGAGGTTTTCTGAGTGGATGCCAAGATTACTGTGCTTATGTGCAAGGTCAGCTCCGCTAATGGGAAAGGGGATTTAACGCAGTGTCTTGGCAACTTTTTGCCTTATAATATGGGAGAGCTGTTCATACAGACTGAATTAGACATGCAGGCTAACTACAAGGCTGTAGTGTTTGTAATTTTATTACCCTGATCCTCGATTACAGGAAACAACATTTCCTAATTAAAATCATATTAGTTATGTTGAAAACAAAGGATGTTTTCACTTTTGTATTAGATGATGCTTTTGGGATTGCTTTCAGAGGTTTTTTGTTTGCTTTTAGCAGCAAAAGTGTCTACAGACAACCTTCATCTGCTGCAGCATGCTTTCCAAATGGTAAATTCTCCGCGGTCTTTCACTAGCTAGTCCTAAGCCCATCTTTGGGAGCTGTTTGCTTTGAGCACCTTGTGTGTGCTGCACCTGTGAACTTGGAAGGTTGGTCTTACGTTCCAAACAAAATATTGAATATAGTCTTTGTTTAAACACAAAGCTGTGAGACTGCAAATGATGCAATGTATCATCATCATCAAGCGTTGCTGTGTGTTCCCAACCTTGCTGTTCTATCTGAAGCACGAGTTTTCACTAGGCATTCTCAGGCTATTTCAGACAGCCGTGATGACTCAGTGTTCAGCAAGTGCTCAAAAAGCATTGATCTTCAAAAGGGGGTACTGGGAAATCTAATGCTAGCATCCAGTTACTCTTTCTGCGCATGTACTTCAGTTTCCCCTGCATGCTCATTTATTTGTGCAATTTCAGTTTTGGTTCTCCGTCGCTTTTTCTCCAGGAGGTGTGGAAAGTAAGTGACCTTTACCTCTTCCCTGTCCTTTGAAACGTTTATCATGTCACAAATTCTTCAGAGTTTCAGGGTGTCTCAGCTGATTGTAGATGGGAAGACTCTGGTTTTGGAGATAATATTATATAATTTGTATCTATAAAATGTAATATATTATTTGATCTCTAGAACTTGTAGGACCTGTACAGCTTCTTGTTTGATGCAGTAAGCCCGACAGTTTGACTTGAAGATACCCTTAGTCCTCTTCTCCATACTGTGCCCCTCTTAGGCATCCTTTTGCTCTAGGCTCTCAAAGACTCGCAGCTTTTCCTCTATTTTCTTTGTCCTTGTGTATGTGATGCCAGTTTTACTGCTTGCTTCTTCCACCTGAAGGTATAGCTGAGGTGCTGTTTTCGTTTAGGAGCTTGAATAACAATCTGTTTTAATTATCTCCCTATTGATCCAGGGAGAAATGCATGCTTGTTCATATTCTGCCAAAACTACTACCAACTTCTTCATTGTGTAAATAAGTTTCACTTTAGGGAGTAAGCATTTTCCTCTTCTAGGGTGGTAAAGGTATTTTCAAGCAGAGCCTTGTTTTTCGGATGATAACAGTAATGAGTTCAGAGCTGGACAATTACATGTAATCAATCTCTGGGACTTCTCTGTCCTTACAAATCAAATGTTTTGCAGGCATCAAGAAGAAAATCCTGTGATTAGAAAGGGCTAATTAGATAGGTTCAGATGATGGCCTAATGTGAACAAGGTTCCCTATCTACTGCATAACTTGAGAAATTCTTGGGCCTTTGTCTGTACTTGAAACTTTCTACTGGAGACCTTGAAATCCAGGCATAACAAATGGTTACAAACTTATAGCAGTGGAAATTTAATTGCTTGTGTATGTATTAGTGTTTCTCCTCAGTTTTTAAGTGGAATTAGTCTAAATCTTCATTGATGACCTATAAGAGTAAGCTTGTGTTGGCATGCTGGCTTGTCACTTGGGAGACATGGGTTACTTTCCTCGCTTCTGCCCCAAACTGGGTCATCAAGGCAAAATTCTTATTCTCCCTGTGTCTTAGTTGCCTACTGATAGATGGGGAAAACTGTATTTTTCTGGAACATTGTAAAACATATTAGAGTTTGAAAGATGCTTAGATATATATGCATAATATATCTTAAATTTGTCAGTGTTAGTTTAAGATATCAATTTCCAAAGCCTGCCTGTTAATATTAAATCTGGAGCAACTAGTTCAAAATGTCTTACTTCTAATGTAACATGATTTTTAATGAAAGGGAGTTTTTTTTTTTTTAAAAAAGTCTGAAGCTTGTTCTCGAAGTGACTATGTTAATTTGAGCATTCTTCTTTGCTAGCTTTTTGAGAGCCTGTGTAAAGAGATTGCATTGATTCAAAAGCTGGTTTGTCATTTAAGTTTTTTCTTCTACCCCCAGGTTGATTCTGCTAATTCTGGAAGAGTGTTAGCTTCTGATGCAGCTGTTTTCTTGAAAAAGTCTGGATTGACAGATTTGGTACTTGGAAAGGTATTTAATGACAGTTAATTATCCTGTCTCTTGCTTCAGTTAGTATACTGTGTGAATTAAAATACTTAGTGGTACTACAGGATACGTGATCTTCCCTAATGTGTTTTCAGTTGTACTATCCAAGTTTTCCAGCTTCAGTATCCTTGATTATTTTACTATGTATGTAGTTTGTGGTGGAAATGAAAACAACATTTAAATTTGTCACCACAAATAAGTGCTGTCATGAAAGTTAAGACCTGAACTTTCATCCAAGAATGCATTGTTAAATGGAGTGAGAACTTGCCAGCTTCTTCTCAGTGCTGTAGACCACTTTGTGTCTATTATTTTTATGTTTTAGATTTGGGACTTAGCTGACACTGATGGCAAAGGTATCCTGAACAAACAGGTATGATTATATGATGTATAAGGTTACGCTAACCATTAGCAAGCCTTGAAATAAGATGGAAGTTAAGATTTTTGGTTCAGGAAAGCAGTTTTTCTAACCGATTTTTTTTTCAGATTTTTCTAATTGGAACTAGATATGCACTTCCCACCTCCGTGTAAGCTACAATAACTTAAGCAGCCTTCAGCTACCTCATCAGCTTTTCTTCAAGTCATAAAATGAGCTGCTGTGTAGCTGTGCAATATAATATACTGAGAAGTAATTTAAGGATTAATGTATTCTATTTACTACAAAGGTGACTTTTCCTCTTAATCTTGGAGGAAACTTAACACAGAAATTAAAATTGTAGTAAAATCTTCAAAATTGTAATTTATCCAATTTTGGTGGATTTGACATTAGTACATTCTGTTTGGAGTTGTTTTTCCAAAGTTGTAGCAGTGAGCAGTATGGCAGTCAGTCTTGCATATCAGTGGTGCTACTGAAAAGCTCTAATGTGCATCGCTGTTTGTTTGAAGTATAGTTGCTTCAGTAACGGCCTGTGGAGAGCTAGCTACTTCATCCCATGGCAGGAAAAGGAGGAGCTTGTAGCATCTACCAAACAAATTTTTTTTCAGACTTCTTTTAGCTCATTTTTCTAATGTGCTGTACCTTTCCTTCCTCCCCCACCATCAACTGCCACCTTCAGGATCAACTCAGTTCCTCCAAGATAAACAGCTTTAATCGCTACTTTAAATTTTCACTGCTCTGCCGTAGAACAACTAAGTGGTGAGGACTGGCTACACTAGCCAGGAAGCTACTAAATGCTTGGAGCTAGTAACTGCAAACTTTGCCTCACTGGAGGAATTCAGCGGTTGTTGACTGCTGCTTTCTGTCGCTTTGAAGCCATATGCAGCATTTTGTATATATAGCAATACTAGAAAAGCTTGTAATTCTTCTGAAATTTGAGTGTTTTCATATAATAAATCCTTTAAAATTTCATTTTTCCTGTAGGAATTTTTTGTGGCTTTACGACTTGTAGCATGTGCACAGAATGGATTGGATGTTTCCCTGAGTAGTCTTAATTCGCCTGTTCCTCCACCAAGATTTGTAAGATTTCTTTTTTAATTGAACATATCAACTCATTAATAAGAACTGCTTTTGAGTGAACAATTAGGAAGGTTTGGTACAAATACCAAACACATCTGAAAGTGATGTCGTAGGGCAATAGGACCCTACACTAGGGGAGAATTAAGCAATGTGGAATAAGGTGCTACATGTTCCAGTGGGGATTTGAATGTAAATTGTGTATAATTTGAATATATATGGTGTTTGTTCTATTAGTGTTGTCCTCAATGGAAGAAACATTTTAAATTGCTTACTGTAAATTTTGGTATCGTTAAGGTATGAGTGACTAAAATGCAGTTCTAGCTTTGAGAAGGAGCACCTTCTCAAATAAGGGAGTGGTTTTGCAAGGTCAGAACCATTTCTCTCTTAATGTAGTTTTTTTCCTGTTTTTCTTTAGACTGATACTAGTAGTCCTTTGCTACTCAGTGGAACAGCATCAAGTGATGTACCGTGGGCTGTTAAGGTAAAATAAAGATCAGGCTATTACCTAGAACTATGATGTGGTTTGCAAGAAAACATAAGTCTGAGAAAAATATAATGCTACTGGTAGCTGCAGTTTATAAAGTATGATAAATTACCATTTATGTCAAAACTGTAATTGGGCTAGTACACCTAATTTAATAAAAACAGTTGTCCCTTGGGAAATCTCTTTGTGTTTAGAAATTTCATTTATTTGGAATAGTTACCTGAAGCCATGAAAATAATTGAAGAATAAATCTCACTGGGTTTTAGATGAGTCTCCAGCTGACTTGGAAGTAATATCTTTTTCATATTTTCTTTTAAACATCAGGAACTGCAATCTGTGTGTTTCCAACTGTAAATTAAAAAAAAGTTAATACTTTTGAAGGAACTACTGCTTCTTAGCTTATGAGTGTGACTATGTCCATAAGTAATCTTTTTCTTCTGTACCTGCAGCTGGAAGACAAGGCCAAGTATGATGCTATTTTTGACAGCCTAAATCCTGTGAATGGACTGTTGTCAGGTGATAAGGTGAAACCTGTACTCCTTAACTCAAAACTGCCAGTGGATATCTTAGGACGAGTAAGAATATCTTTCTACTTAATTATTAATTTGTAAATAATAACGGTGCTACACTCAGCAATATCTGTTTTTCAGATTGAACATTTGTAGTAATAAGCCTGACTATTAAATGCTATTTTATGGAGTGGCCACATGTGTAACTGTTGAACCGTATTTAAAAAAAAAAAAAGGTGTCTGCTTCTTACCACAGTGTATCAGTTACATGTACTCTTTAACACTTGGTTTAGGGCAGGGTGCCATTAGTGCACTCTGTCTCCAACTTAAGAATCTCTCTTCTTTTGCATGGTTTATATGAATGTATGTTCACTGAAAACTAATGCTTAATAGAACTTACGATATGGTGGAGGGAGGCTGTTCTCACATTTGTTTTTAATGAGGTTTTAAATAGGAAACAGCTGCAGTTTAGGCAAACATCCCTATATTCTGCTTTTTATTGGTAGGTGTGGGAATTGAGTGATATTGACCGTGATGGAATGTTGGATCGAGATGAGTTTGCAGTTGTAAGTATCTTCTGCCTCTTGGGATTTTGAAAGCCTAATGGCAGAGGTTTAAAATGGATGCATTGTGTATTAACTGTTGACTGTTTGTGCGGTTCACTTATTGCCTTTATTCAGAGACCTTAAGTTTTAGTACTAGTTAATGTTTCTGTCAGTTTATTGAATGTCTCTCATTACACAGCAGTAAGTTTCTTTGTGGGCTAAATGAGCCATTAAAAACTTATACCTGTGATCTGCTGTCCCATGAGAGACAGTTATTTCACTGAATAAGTTTTAACTTAACCTTCAGTGTTTATAGTACTTGAATGTATCAAGATACCTTTGAGGAAAATTTTAAAGAAATTATGTATAAATTCTTCAAAAGTTCATAGCAAGTTAGAATTTTAACACTGTTAATGCCAGGACTGATGAAATAATGTAAGAAGCAGTAAATAAGTGTCACTTCCCCCAAGAGATGGCAAGTGAGAAGAGAGAGGAAGGCTCTTTGTTTTGATGACTCTGTAAGTCTTGAATGCTATAGTAACCATGCATCTGGTTTTTTTTCTCAAAACTTTCAGCTTGTTTTTGTGTGTAAGTGAATTAGAGAGGAAGGAATTACACATTCACTCTGGAGGAGAGTGTTTCATTTTACACAGAGAAATAGCAAACCTAAGTTTAAAGATTTGGAAAAGCTGACAAAATATCATCTTAACTGCATTCTGCATTGCAAGAATCTTGAAAAAGTCATGTGACCTTTCTGTCCTCAGGTGGGACTAAAACCAGCCTTTAATTTTAATTTCTACAAACTAAACTATTGCTTATCCTTTCAGAGTCAAAATTTAAAAATAAAATAAAAAGGAAGTTGAAAATACCTGTTTAATTGCCAAGAATTGATGTTACAGACAACATCAAAACCATGCTTTGTTGTTGGGGTTTTTTTTGTAATGTAAATTGTAAATGTAAATTTTTGAGAAGGATAAAAGTATAAAAATTGCTCTCTTAAATACTGTTATAGTCATCTTCAGGCACCTATATGCTTCAGTTTCTCCTGAAACCAATTTCTTTAAGACTCTAGCAGTTAACTGTTACTGTACTTGATTTCCTCTGTTTATGCTGTAGTTTTCAGACTTCTAGCTTTGAGATCAGAGGATTGATGTGCTCTAGGCAAATGTTGGAGATAAATTGATAATCTGTAAGGTATTACAGTATTTATTTAAGGTGCAGTTCTGTGTCTTGAACAGCAGTCATAAAATTATTAAAATATAAAACCACAACAAAAGAATAGTCACTAAGTGGAGCAAGTCCTGCAAAAACAGTGAATACATTAAAATTAAGTGTTTAAAGTGTTCTTCCAAATAAAATTCCACAAGTGGTGGTACAAGCTTGGTAATATTTAGGAGAATAATTATAATGTTCTAAAAGATACTGAACTTCATTTGCTAAGCACTGAACCTCAAAAGAAAGTAGTAATGATAAACACAGGTCAGAAGGCAATAATCTGCAATTCAGTTGAAGGGGCTTGTAAAGGAGAAACATAATGAAAAAATGCTACAAAGTTATTTCTTAACTAATTTTTTATATATATATACTGATTTCTTATATATTCACATCCACACACTTTGTTTTCTTGTTCAGGCCATGTTCTTGGTGTACTGTGCTTTGGAGAAAGAACCAGTGCCAATGTCCTTGCCTGCAGCTTTGGTGCCACCATCTAAGAGAAAACCTATTAGTGTTCCAGGAGCAATGCCATTAATTCCATCTTCAACAACTACCAAAGAGTCTCATCAGTCCTTGCCACCTGTAGGCATTTTAGCTGCCAAAACACCATTAACACAGGTATAGTTGTGAAGTTACTTGGGGTTAGAAGATTTCTCCTCTCAATGCTGTGCTTTGGAGACTGCCTGTATGAAGAGTCTTGATAGAAGTTTTTAGCTTCCTTCTTGCCCTGTTAATTGGTTGATGAATTTGAGGAGGCTGATGGGAAGACCAGGTGGAGAGGTATAAAATTTATCTTCTGCTTCTTCTAGATGTCTTCAGATATAAACAGTCGGATAACAGGATATTATTTAGTAAAGATTTGAAGATATTTTTAAAATAAATTATTTCAAGGCATCAAGCTCAACCCAAAGGTCAGAATATTAAGAAAACAGTTTAAAAATGTAATCCATGTACACATCTGCAGAACGTAAGTCTTCTGGCTGAAGACCGATTCAAATATGGACGAGTTCCTAAAATTGTGACAGACACATATGTCCTGTTGTATGTGTGCACATGCCTGCAATTTGGAGAAGACATTAATGAAAATGGAATAGATACATGCAAGCAATGGGAAAAGGAGACAAAAAGTCTGGCATATCCACCTAAATACATGAGGTTTGGTGTTTGTTTCAAATGTAATTATTAAGAAACTCAATGCCTTCCACCCCCACAAGCATCTTAGTTAATCCTGGTCATTTTAGAGTGCAGAATTTGGGAAAATGTCTTTCCACATAGATTATAATTTATTCTATTCAAAATAAGAAAAAAAACTGAAAAGGAGATCTAAGGTAAGAACTGTAGAACTTAATGATAAGATGCTGCTTTGACATTTGGGTACCCATATTTGAGGAATCAGTAAGAAACTGGCATCTTAATTCTGGAGGTGCCAAGATTTTCATCTGGCAGCTTACCTGGTAAGTCTTGCTGTGTGTATTACAAAGCAATGCCATTCTGGATGAGTGTATGTTTTGTGTACACCACCATTTGGGATTCATCTAAGTGTCCTTGTATGCTGGAATTAATTAGCATCCACAAGCATGCACCTAAAAGCGTTTTCACTCAAAAAACCTCCGTCTTTGTAGCAGCTTAGTGCTGGGAGGAATTGTTGAAGTAAGAGAAGTGGCTGTGATTCCCATCTTTACCTTGATCAGAGGTAAATTCTGCAATTTAGAATGTGCCAACTGTTAACAGTCTGGGCTTGAGCAGTTCTTCAGTCCCTCCAGCTAAAGCTCTCCAGATGTGTAAAGAGGAATAAAATTGATGGAGCCATACAGTAAGCAGGACTGTGACTGAGCACAGTGATGAGGGCACAGCCCTATACTGGGAGGAGATCTGGGCTCCAGGGAATACTTTCAATACATAGGCAAAGAGGCAGAGCAGTATCAGCCAGCCTTGGTGCTTCACTGATGTAAACACTTGGCTTTTTGCTTTTGGAGTGGCTTGTGGATCTCTGTGCATCTCTATTTTGGAGGATAAAACTGGTTCATGAACTAGGTGCCTGTATCACTTTTTAAATCTGTGCCGTAGTCCTTGAATTATGTAACTCTGAAAGTAACTATCTGAAAACAGAATGGCCTTTATCTTAGTATTGTGGTTTTTGTTTTTGTTGTTTGTTCGGTTTTTTTCCCTTCCATCCCCACCCTGCCCTTCAGTGGGTTGTATCGCCTGCAGACAAAATTAAGTATGATGAGATCTTTGTGAAAACCGACAAGGACATGGATGGATTTGTGTCAGGTGTGGAAGCCAGAGAGCTATTCCTGAAGACAGGACTGCCTTCTACTCTTCTTGCACATATCTGGTAGGGATTTTTTTTTCCATGACAGCTGTTTAGATGATGGCATGGTTCTCACTCCTTCCTAGCACTTTCCATGAAAAGTGCTATGTTGACATTTCTGGAAAGTGGAAGTTGTTTTTTCTACATAATAGCATGGCCCTCTGTGTAAGCAGTGGTAACTTACTTGCTTCTACTTTTGGACAGAAATGGGGGCGGGGAAAAAAGTTTATGCTATGCATCATCTCCTAAGGGAGGAAGTAAAGCGCCTGAACACAGATTGTTACAAACAAATACTTCACTTCAGCTAAATCCCTGTATTTAAGACATCATAGTGTTGCTGTGTATCTAAACACAGATACTATCCATATACTGGTAATGAGAATTATTGGTATAAAATTCTTAGGATGCGAGACTTATGGCCCATTTGATTCTGCAGCTTGTTTGTCTTTCATTACAGCTAGTAGCGACACCCACTGCTTTTTTAATTCTTTCCCCACTATAAGCTATTCCAGAGCACTCTGATAGGAAAAACTTCTTTTTTCAAGATATGGTTAATATAACCTCCAATTTAGGAAATTTAGGAAAATTAGATAAACTTGTGTTGGCTGTGAAAAGTTCTTTAATTTAGGAGGAACTTCAGTTACAGATACTCAGGTGGTGGTAGTGACTCACAGGCCTGATTCTGCCTTTCACCAGATCAGAACTTACCGTAATAGAGCTGTGGACCTTAGCATGCAAAGAGAAAGTGGTTGTGTATGCTTGAGTAATGTTTCCTATTTGTTACCATGCCTTACTTCTGTATTGTCTTTTTTTAGAAGAGGAGATATACGCTAGCAATTTTCACATTTTTAAATGACAGCAAGTACAATAAGCAGGGCTTACTTGCAGAAATGAGGATTTGATTTATTTCATGTGTATCTCTGTACAGGGCTCTCTGTGACACAAAGGACTGCGGAAAGCTTTCAAAGGAACAGTTTGCTTTGGCTTTCTATTTAATTAATCAGAAGTTAATAAAGGGCATTGATCCACCTCAGGCTCTGACTCCAGAGATGATTCCACCTTCAGACAGGGGTGTCAGTTTACAGAAGGTAAGGATGGGTTTGGCATTTTTGGTATAAATCTCAAACAAAGAATGTTAGTTTCAAAGGCTTCACCAGAAACACCTCAAGTACTGGCATACCTTAAATTTATCATAATATCAGGAAGAAAACAAGTCTCAGTGCAAAGAATTGACAAAACACTGTTCCATTCATGTTTCAAAATGAAGCTGTCATTTTGACGCCTGCCAACCAAGCGGAGAGATCTTATGTTGAGAAAGCATTATTTTCTATTTTGAAAGCATAGTCTTTCTACTACCTACCTAAAGAAATTTTAGTTTGCATTTGAAGTAACACGCGCAAGTTCAATGTTTTTCTCCTAATGTGTTCACAATTACCTTTCTTACATTTCCTTTCTTAAGAAGTCTGGAAACAATGTCAACTAAGTTAAATATTTAATTCTAAACTTTAAGTTTTAAAAGTAAATGGTCCTCCATTTTATACTTCACAGATAGTTTAAATGTCTTCATAGTTTGTTGATTGCCATCTATCTTAATCCAGTGGTAGAATATACCTCAGCAGTTCAAGTTGTATTTATCAGAATGGTAGAGGTCATCACAAGTTCTTACTTGTTTTACACATCATGAAGTCTTATGTGGGGTACCTTTTCTTGGTTGTGCAAAACATTGACCTAATTCTACAACTTTCTTAAACAGAATGAAAAATTCACACCTGAAAAAATGAAACTCAAAATTTGGCACTACTTTTGAGTTTCTGTAACTGGTATCTAATTTCTTTTTACATTCTGTTTTTAAAAAGTAATTGCTTTATTTGCAACTCTACTAATCTTTTTTATATGTTTGCTTTCCTTTCTATGTCTCTTTTCTAGTTTGGACTGTTTTTTCCATTCTGCACCACTCTGCTTTTCATCCTTATTATTCTGTCAGTTTGTTAACTCTGCTTTCTCAAGGTTAGAGAATCTTTGCTTTTCTAATATTTACTGTCTGTTGGTTTAATAATGAACATCCTTCTAAGACTCTTTCATAATCATTGAAATAGCACAACACTTCAGAGAAGTGTCGCAGTAGGTTGTGATCTCAAATTACTGCTGATGTCCATTGTTGTTCATCTGGAAGAACCCCAGGGTTCTTCCTTGAACCCAGACCTCTGTGGCTGTTACTTGTTGGTAATATGTGCTGCTTAAACTCAAAAGAAAATGCTATGTCTTATCCTGTTGAAATTGCTGGGGAAGTGGTGACAGAGTAGTAGCTTAATGTGACAGTTATTAGGACTAATATCCATGGTTTTACTGATTATATTGCAGAAAATGTAGTAATCGGAACACATTAGATGAGATCAGTGTTGGTTATTGCAATTCTGTGTGTGTAAATTGTTTTTATAGGACACTCAAAGATGTCAGTGTGGGGCTTTTCTTTTTTTACATTACTAACAAAAATGATGAAAGAAAGAATATTGTGAAAGAAGGTAAGAGCGAGTTCTTTTAGCTCTGTAAATCCTTACCAAGAATCTGGTTTATTATATTGAGCTTGAACCTTCAGCTCATTTTGAGCTTTTTCAAAAGAGATGTCTTGTTGATATGAAACAACCTGTTTGTCCAAGATTATTGCTCAAGAATTGAACCCAAAGGATAAGAGCAGTAGGCAGAAATAGGCTTTTTGCTGGTTTTCTTGAAGTGATGTGGCTTGCTTTGTAAAAACAAACAAACAAAAAACCTAACAAACATCTTAGGCTTCATCTTCTTGACTTGACCAATATAAAGGTAGCAGCAGAAATATCAGTAAGTATAATGGTAATCCATTATGTTTTTAAAGTAGAGAAAGTTAACTTGTGATCCTTCTTGGTAGATGTTCAGAATGCATGTGTATATATATTGCTGTTATCTAATGTTTGGTTTCCTTACAGAATTTTATTACCACAGTAGCGTAAATTTTATTGAAATTTTGAGGCCTGAATGCAGATCCCATGAATGGTACACAGCAGCAGTCTAGTACTTGTTGCTGTGTTTCTTTACCTAGAAGTGTTTGTAGTCACCGAATTGCACTTGCATTACCAGACATAAAACTTACTTATATGCAGGTTCCTCTTGAAGAATTTTGACAGGAATTGACTTTTATTACTATTTTGAGTTAAAAACTTGAAGCATTGTTTCCATGCATGTTGCAGTGTAGTAAATGGCAGCAAACAGTTCTAACTTTTGTCTTTTTTAACTTGTGTATTGAAGCTAAAAATGTTGGCTTTTACGTTCCTCCCTGACACCAGTTCTCCTGAACAATTGAAGAAAACATAGTTCAATCTTATTTTCAAGTTTGATGCTGGCGTTACTGTGCAGAATTTCTTTACCTGATGAGAGAAGGAGGCCTGGAAAGAATTTGTACTTAATAGCTAATAGCTCCACGTTTTCCTTCTGTCCCCTTCCTAGGAGAAGTAAAAACTTTTTCATTGGAACACCACGAGCAACTCCACTAAACTCCTGTGTAATTCCTTTAGAACAGGATTGAACTTCATAGCTGTTTTGCCCATTTGAGAAGCTGTACACTAACTGGTTTAAGAATAGCTGTATGGTTTTTTATTCTCTGTTAATGCCATCTGTTCTAGTAAAATATATATGAAGAATCTATAGTTCTGCTGAATAATATTCTCTGCCACAGTGTGCTTATATTTACTGTTTAGGTCTTTTCATGGCTCCTGGGTTTTTTTGGGTGTTGTTCTCCCCCCCCGCCCCGAGTATGAGCTTGAATAAACACATAGTTAATAGCATCTTGATTTATCTTTAGAGAAACTTCAGCATTTAAAGACTTTTGTGTCATTTTGGGTGTATCACTTGCCTTTTTTTAAATATATATATATACTTTTCCTCTGAACTTTGTGTTTGTCCTGGTTGGCTTTATTCAAGACTTGAAGGAACTGATGTATTTATAGAAGGAAGGTACTTACAGTGACTATGGCTTCCTAAACATGTTCATGTTGTGATAAGGCACAGCAGAACAATTACACTATTTGCTAATTTGTGTCTTCAGCATTTGTTCTCTAGTCATTTATGTGTACTTTTTTGAAACAAGTAATTTGTATTACAGTTGTCTTATTATAAAGACATTAAGTAAATGGGAACTCATGGGCATAACTTACCTACAACTTTGATAATACAGAGTTTCATTCGGTACTCTGGAGGCTCACGTTAAACTAGGTTGATATCACTTAAAGCATTGCAAATAAGTGTATATACTCTGCAACAGGAAGATTACCGATGTGAAGAAATATAATAGTAGTAAACAGACCGAACCACTCCTAAATGAATGCTAGGAAGCCAGCTAAGTGTTAACTGTAAGATAAACCTCATTTTAGAACTAGATTTTTTGTATGATCAAGTGGTCCTGTGCTTTTGTGGAAGTTGTCTTCAAGAGTTTACAGGAGACAAACTCTGTTTGAATTACTGGATGCATTGGATGTATGTTGTGTTCTGTTAATATAGCATCTGGACTGTTTGGGGTTTTTTAAGATTGAAGATTTGAAATACGATGCTACCAAGAGTTGTTACAAGAGGATAGCTCACGCTGTCACAAAAAGTAAAGTGAATACAATTGTTGAACAGCACAAACTATAAACTAACAGTATTTTTTTTTATCTTTCAGAGTGCTCAAGGACTGAATTCTGTAGCAGATTTTTCTGCAATTAAGGAACTTGATACATTAAACAATGAAATAGTAGACCTGCAGAGGTAGGTAAAGGAGGAATAGTCATAGTTGCCTTAGATTCAGTTGTTGATACTTACTGTTTTTTTTTTTTTAAAAAATTCAGTGCATAAGAGAAAACCAGGTGGTAATAGTCTGCTTTGCTAAAATAAATGGTTAGCATGTCTGTAATACTGTTTAACACCTCTAATCTTTGTTCACTCAGATGAGTTCATTTAATAACAGCAAGACTGTGAATGGTCTGTCCATTGTGCCTTCTCGGTATGTCTCAGAGCACTGCATATCTTAGCATCCTGAGATGGAAATATTCTCTCTTGTTCATTTTTATTGGCTGATGAGAATAGAGCAGATCTTTAGGATGCTGGGACCATGATATAAATTGGTATTAGTTGTCTTTGATTTGTAGAGGGAATTCTAAGGACTCTTTCTAGTGGCAGTAAGGAAGTGAGATGGGAAAGATCAAGAAGCACATAGGGTAGAGAGTGTGAAGATGACAGTTTGTATGTGGACCTCTGCTAGGCTTTTGATGGTGGTAAAGATGGACATGCTTCTCTTCTGTTTAGTCAAATAAACTGTTACACTGAGAAAAATTGTTTTAATTTGAGGTCTGCAGACCCTTAGGCTCCATTAATTATTTCTAAGGTAACTAAGAAGATGACTTCAAGTGACTAAGAAAATCAAGTTCATACATGTTGTATAGTCTTCGTCATACTCTCAGACATGGCAGATATTTTTCTTCAGTGATTTTTTTTTTTTGTGCTATCATAAATCTACTGAAAATTCTATTACGAACAGTTAATTCTACTATTTTATAAGTGAGGGTGCTTTGTCATGATGAAATCTGCCTGTCTTATGCATGTCACTTGCAGGAATGATTTAATCTGGCAATGTGTCAAAGCACATTCTGTTTCCTAAATACGTAAATGTGGGGTTTTTTTTTTTTTTTCAGTTCAGCTGCTTATTCTCCCTCTTATTACGCCCACTGCCTCCTTACTTCTCCCTGCTCTGCCTTCCTCTGTTGTTCTTTAGGTTGTATTGGTTCCAATTTTGGACTCTCACATTTATTAACCTGAAATATGATTTACAACAATCTGTATTTGCTGTTAGTATTTTAGAGGGAAATAAATTATTCGCTAGCATGAATTTTTAGATGAAGTTGGCTTTCAGTAGGTGGGCTTGCAGCCTAACATGCAAGCCAGTCTGTTTATGTCTTGTTTTCTTTTCTTACTGTGAGGTATGAAGGAACCATGGCCTTTGGAAAGTCGTTGCTTCCATTTCTTCAGTAGCAAATATACTTGGACAATTATTTAAGACACACTTGAAATGATACTAGATTGTTGAAGATACGGTAGGAGCAACTATTAGTATGTATTTATTTTTAGAAAAGGGGAATTTACTTCAGTATGATTTAGAGGTTCAGAAGTGGACTAATAATCGGAGGCTTAAGCTTGTATCATCAAACTGAAGTATAATAGTAAGAGTTTTCTGTTGTTTCATTGAGAATGACTAGCAAACCCTCAATGTCATGAAGTGAGTTGTGGCTCAAGTAAAATGTTTTAATTTTAATTTTTACAATTAATTTTTTGATTACTTGGAAATCCTCTAGCCACTTTAGAAGAGTTACTTTGGTAGCAGAGTAAACATCACTTTTCTGTACCTTCCCTAAGCACAGGTGGCAACACTAGGCAACAGATTGATCTGTGTGGTAAATGTAGGAAACTTTTTTAATCTTTGGCAAATCCACATTTCTGTTATAACTGGTGAAGTACACTTTCAGTCTTGATAGTTACCATATAAAAATGTAATTTAAACTTCAGTTATTTTTGCTCATTATTAAACAAGATATATTGTTCAGCTGTTGAACTCAATATGTAATAATTCTAGTCCGTGATTCCATTGAGAAGTTTCCATGAGAGCTGCATTTCTGAGACCCAGTAATGGAAATTGAATCTATTTTTTGAAGTGCACTTAAAAAAAAAAAAAAGGCAGCAGAGGAAATGCTTCAAAAGAATGACAATGTCTGGAAAAGATAGCTTTTTGAGAGACTGAGCAAAGAATACAGAGGTGATGTGTTTGGGGCTCAACATTTCGTGTGGGAAATATTTCTGGTAGCCAACAGCTTTTTAATCTAATTCAGTAAAAACAGTGTCAGGAAGGTGGAGGTTGAGGATCAGATGAAGATGAAATGCAAAACACTTATTGGTGAGGATAATTCCCCTCTGGTAGGGGGAATGATTTGCCTAGGGACGTTGTGGAATCTGCATCATTTTGAGCCTGTCAGCACTGCTGCCTGTGAGTTCTGTTGCAGTTGCACTATATTTTTAGAAAGCTATTTGAAGCTTTTTTGGTCAGCATTGTGGGAGGCTAGACCAGATGTTCTTAATATTCTTTTTTGAGCCATAAAACCTTTTTCTTCCCCAGCAAACCCTGCTTTGTTTTTGTGCATTCAAAGATAGCTACAGCCCACAAATTAGTGGAATTGTGAAAGACGTTGCTGCCCAGGGCAGGGGGGATGGACTAGATGATCTCTACAGGTCCTTTCTGACCCAAACCATTGTGTGATTCTGTGAATTTATTCAAGCTTTACCAATACTACATTCCTCTCAAAGTGTGTTAAGTCGTTGAGCTTAACTTAGTATATCTCACCAGAGGTGCCACCCTTCACATATGTTGGACAGCAACACTTATGTTGTCTTGAATATAAATCAGGTTAACAGAACCATAAAGCTGGTAAATTGGTCTCTCAAAAGTAAGGAAACAGCGAAATGTGCCCAGAAAAACAGGGCAACCTCTTTCTGCTATACACTTGTATCAAGCCTTTGTTTCAAAGTTCAGAGATCTACAGCTTCTTAGCAAAGCAATGGTAAGAATTTTAACATAGGCTAGATTATTTCTTCTAACTTCTGGTTTGGAAGTAACTGAGCTGTTGCAGCTGAAAAGGTTGGGGGGAACAAAGGAGGGAACAAATTTTTTCTAGCTTTGCCAGACTGAAGTACTACTACATTAAGAATTCGCAAAATTATAAATGTATGTGAAAATAGGAAATGTTGGGCGACTGTGAGTGTAGATAATGCTACCAGCTCTGTGAATAGTCATCTGTCACTTACTATGGAAAAGAACCATGAATTTTTTTTGCTTTTGGCACTAAGGTGGTTCTAAGTGTTGGCCATCAAGAAGCCTGGCCAGGGTTGTTTCATATTTGGCTCGAATGCCTCTACTGATGTGGGGGACTCCTTAGTTGTCAGCTATCACAAATATTTGCAGTATGCTGGCTCCCACTTATAAATTACTCACAAATTAGTATAAAACTTAGGATTTACTAAGATTATTTGATTGCAAATCATGAAGTATCTGCATTGGAGAAGCCATCTGTTAGTTTTGGGGTTTTTTTATCATTGCTTTTAATTTTTCTGATATGAGGTTCGCCTGACCTGACTACTATTAAAATACATAGGGAAATTGTATTGCTTTCATAAATTGGCTTGAATTGGTTACATGTGTCCTTTATTG